TCTCTTTCCTCCACTTCTCCCTCCCTTTCTACTTCTTTTACTCTTACCCCCTTACGCTCGCTTCTCCCACTCTTTTTTCATTAAGATTTTGTCTTTAGTGATGGTGATTTCGGAGATTTTGGTATTGACAATTCCAGCATCGACAATTTTTCACTTATAATTTATTATTAAAAAAAAAGTTTGAAGTTTATTATGGAAATTTTGGTTATTACTAAAAAAGACGGGGGGTCTAAAATAATTTGCCTGAACCCCGGGGATTCATGATTTTCACCCTGAACTAGGGGTCAGGATAAGGATGCTCATAAATCTAAAGCGATATTGAATTATGTGATAATTAACAAATCAATTGTCACATTTTAAAAAAGTATAGTCATTTTATAAATCTAATATAAATATTTGTATAACATGAGCCCTATGCTTACAGTGTCAAAAATGGAAACAGTGGCCAATATTATGATTTCAAGATATTTTTCCGTTGGACATGATTTTTGAGATTTTCATATTCGAGAAGTATTTGTAACTTGATGCTCTTGGGCAGTTCACGAACGAAAATTACGTTGAGGTAACATTTATAGAATATAAACAAAAGAAATCTAGATAACAAATTTATTTATTCTGTCCTACTTTTACTTCATAATAAGAATTACTAAGCTTCAGAAACACATTTTATATTCCATATGATCGAATTATATACATTATCAGTTTAAATTATTTATTATTATTTATTTTTACATATACAATAATAAATTCTTAAAAATCAATAACATATAATAAATAAATACAGGAGGCTTTAGAATTTTAGTTTGGAACCTGTTAATATTCTTGTCAAGTTTATTCATTTTATTGAAATATACATCGGTAATAATTGTTTCTTCGTAAATTCTATATTATTATTTGTATCGCGAGAAAAGCAACTTGTTACTATTGTAAATACATAAATCACTGTATTTTGTGAAATGACATACCTTTCCTGGAACAACACATACCTTCCTTATTGCTATCACATTTTAAGCATTAGTCACAAAAAATTTTTATAATAGAATAAAATCATGGTTCCCTCACAGCGAAGTATTCCATTTCGTTTTTATTTTTTTATTTTATTTTACTACATGATCACAACATTTAAAGTATACAAAATATTATAGATTACGTGATATAATATTTAAGAATTCATAATTGTTATCGCATATAAAACTTTTTATTTGATAAGTAAATGTTAAAAGTATTACTAAGTAATTTTAGAGAAAAGAACAAATTGCATATTATGTAAAAGAAACAGATACATCTTATTAAAATCAAGAAAATTACAAGTGGGAAATTTTAAACGGGTAAAAAAATTTAAAATGATAATCATTCCTTAATTTTAACAAAATTAGCTTATAATTTTTACAGGAGATGCAAATAATATTTATCTTGTGGTTACTTGTTACTTTTTTGATATTTATTTAAATAAAAATTTTATATGTGAGAAGAAATTAAAGGTACAAAATGTCTCAATTTCTTAAAATACTTGAATCAAATACTTGCATCTTCAAAGCATTATGTGTCGTCATCATTGATTGATATATTAAACGATGACAATTAGTTTCAGAAGCTTTCAAACGAATTTGTCCCTTTGGTAAATATGCAATACTATATTTATAGGTATCAAAATAAGTAGAGCAATCTTCACCTTTTGAAAAATTTTGAATTAGATAAGTATAACATAGAATAGAATAATAAATCAATTATAATATAATTAAAGTCCTTTACTTCTAATATATTTACATCTTATATTAACTTTTTATTAAAAGTAAAATATGAATCTATATTGATTATGGTTTCGATATTAGAAAACATGTCATTTATTTTCAGCATTTATAATCAAATTATTTAATTATTTTACTTGGTATAGGTTGAGATTTCGTGTTTGTATCGTAAGTTACTTTTATACTAGGTACTTCAGTCAATATTTTCATAATTAATACTATAGAATAACACAATTAAAATTAGTCAATCCATATAAATGAGAGGCCTTTTTTGATAAAGTCTACAAAAAGAAACATTTTGATAATTTTTAATACATAATGACGGTAACGGTCTTAAATTAAAAATTACTAGGCGCTTCGCTAATGATCTTGGCAATTGGACTTAGTAAAACTGCGCCCAATTTAAGCTCTAAACGACAACACCATGTATCCCGAGATGATATTATTGAAAAGGCAATTTTATAGATAATAATTATGTACTGTACATTATAGAAATTTATTATTATTATTAATTAATATAGTAAAACTTTAAAATATTTTTCAGTAAAAAAAAAAAAAAATTCAAATTTAGCATTTGATAGTTATATTTGTAAACCAAGGGAATCTAAATAAGAAACGATTTGTGAATATAAATTACTCGTCGTGTCACTTACTGTATTTCTATATTTCTCGGTAATAAAAAAAATATATATTCATCTCATTGAAAGATTTATATGTTACGTATTACACTTGTAAGGCTTAACAATATAAAATGTTGTCTTAAACGACTTTATTAAATGTAGGAAGTGCAAAATTTACTAATTGATCCATTCTAAAAGGATGAAATATATTTTATATTTTATTGACCAAATATTACTTCAATTTGTTTGATTACAATCAAGTGCATAAGCCATGAATCTTAACAATTCACTTATTGAACATAGGATACGCATAATAGACATAGACAAAACAAACCCACTATTTCAAAACTAATAGTGTTTGGCCTTAATGGTTTATAAAACACAAGGTTTAACTTTACCCAGAGGGTCTCTTTCTATGGAGATTTTTTCCTCAGGACAAGCATATGTTGCCCTTAGCTGATGTCCACTTGGAATAACATTGAAATATTTCACCTGAATCATATACTTTCTTAAATTTATTTTTAACAAATAAAAAATTAGCACCCACCTTTATCTTTTTTTGACTGATATTTAAAATTGAAGTATAACAAAAAAATGTAACGCCGATTAACACTGCCAGACCAGATACTATATATACAAAAAAAAAGACTACCTAGTTGTGTTGTATAATGATTGATGTACGTATTATTTTCTTTAATGTTTACAGCCAGCTTAACTATAATATAAAAATGTGTAAAAGACTTTATTAAATTAGGACTCACATTAGCATATTTTTAACAATCTCAACAAGTTTTAAAAGACTTTACTAAATGTAAGATTCTCATTATCCAATATAAAAAGCTTTAGATATTTTAATATTTAGAATGACAAGGTATAAGATTTACTAAATCATTTCATTCTAAAAAGATGGAGACATTCCAATATTTATTTATGTTTCTTTTTCATTTTCATAATATAATGAATTATAACATTATTGTATGTTTTAAGATATTGGGTTTTATAAAAAAATTCCATGATAGAAAGCTGATTTGAAAATTTCTCGATTCGTTTTCGCTATTACTGAGTACCAACATTATCCAAAATAGTAACAGTATAAGTTCTTCAACCTCAATCACATAAGGGTACGGTTTTTAATGAAAAAAATATTGCAAAAGTACTTTTTATTATCATACTCACCATCATCGTTACATTGTCTTCCTTCAGGGACCAAAGAAAAATATTAATTCTTGCCATTTATTAATCCACTATTTGAATTTGGCTAAATTCATAAAATTAATTTGTAAAATTAAATAAAATAAATAAATAAAATTCATTCGAAGGTAACAATCTCTTAGCTTCTTTTTTTCTCGAAACTTTTTTCTCGAAACTTTTTTCTCGAAATTATTTTAATAAAATGAGTGCTTCCGTGTGGTGCCAATCATCATTTAAATATGTCATGAACGATAATTATATATTGAGAATCATTGTTAAAAAGGAATTAATAAAAAATTTTATATCACATTGCAAGCCATCCAATAAGTTCATCTGCTGTAAAATTAAGTAATTACACTTCATACTTCATTGTAAATACCGTGAGCATAAAGACTTTCTATATAAATATACTGTATGAATTTAATTACATTTATTTGCAATCAAGTCAAGAGATAATCCTTTTGTTTAGGATCAAGTAGTATTTTTTCCTGAATATAAATTTATTCAATTTATACGAAGATTATAATATTAATATTTAATACAAATGTTCTGTAAATTGTAATTAATGATAAAAAGTATTGAGGTTCTTCTTAAGTAGACTTGAATAAAAATGATAAAAGTAATAAAATGGCAGTAATACAAATTAAGATTTTTTAAATAAATTATTATGTAATAAAACTTGAAACTTACAGTATAAAGGGGAAATGCTGCTTTCCTCCCCTCCAAGGTAAACTTGCTAAATTAATTGATTGGTTATTAGCATCGGCAAAAAAGGTATTTAGTTTAATTTACAGTATATTCTAATGACGTGAGTGAGAGAATTTTAACTCCTTTATTTCCTTTCTAATAATACAATATATATATATAAAGTAAAAAGGAACGTAGAAGAAAAATGTAACCAATTATATTTTTTATTGATGAATGTTCTATTAATACTCAAAATTATAATAACGTATGGTTTAAAAAAACATAATATGTATGTTGTAATTAGATTCATGGGAATTTTTACCTTTCACATTAATTCATTATTATAATAAAAAAATAAAATAAATAATTCTCTCTTTTGACAAATCAAGTAATCAAATCAACTAAACATCGCATTAACTAAAGGTAAAAACGAATTCGCTTTAGAGCTGTAATAATTGTTTTTAACAGTGTTGTATTTAATTACGGCAGGCAACTCTAATTTACTGGTTCACAAATTTATTGCAGTACTATATAATTTTATCTTTATTATTTTACTTTTACTTCAATAAGAATTATTTTAATAAATCCTTTGAATTCACAATAATGATGACAATTTCTAACATTTCAAATATTTCTAATTATTAATGTAATTATACTGTATTATTTCAACATCCTTTTTATAGATGATGAACTTATTATAAAAGTTTTTTTTTAGAATATGTGAAATTCGTATATGATTTAGATAATTTAAATTTTTAATAGATTTTATTGTTGTTTAAAAATAATACAAATATTTAAATGATTATAAATGATAATTATAATGAAAGAAGGTAAACAAGAAAATTAGTCATTCAGTACTTCTTTTATATAAAATTCATTTAAAAATTATTGTCAGTTTATTCGCTTTGCAAACTATTAGTGACAAATCGGAATTTCTCACATCATTCTATAAGTAATGTTCTAAAAAAACATTAATAAAAAATAGGAAGGTAAAATTTTTAATAGGTAGGTAAGTCGATTACCTCGGGAAAATTTTCTTGAAGAAATTCTTTAACTACTCGACTTGTATGCTTCGGATTATTGTCTCGATGAATATCCAATCATTATTCAACATTCTTGTGGTCTCAGGTAAGTTTTGTCTTAAAATATAACATAAAATTGACCATCCATGATTCCTCTAAACCAAAAGGTTAGTTTTGCCTTGTGCACAAAATCCGCCCAAAGCAAAAATTTTTGATCTGTCTTTTGGCATGCAACGAACTGGACGTGCTCCCTTGTACCAATGTTTTATTGGTATTCCTAAACAGTTGAAAAGCTGTTTCATCTGAAAATAAAGTTTTTTTCCAATTATCATTAAGATATTTTAGTGCCATTCTAGGTGCTTTTTTTTTGTGCTACTGTTTTAATTTTTTGTCATACCCCAATGTTTTCAAATTGTTTTGTGTGATAACTTTACACTTTTTCAAACAATTTGTTTACTAAAGTCCGCAAAGATATTAAGTGATTCCTTATTACGAACTGATCTATTGCCTTAGGGCTTTCCGAAATAGCTTGGTTTGGACTACACTCCCAGTTTTTTGGTTTTAATAAATTGTTGATCTTGTCTTCTTTATTCTCTGCTTATACCGATGTTCCACAAATCTTTTACAGCATGCGGATTTTACTTGTAGGTGGTATTTTGATTGAACACCCAAATCGACGATTTGAAGATCACAGTGATCGTAAATTGGTGTGTTTGTGGCACTAATTTTTAATTCTGCCTATCAAATGTCCAAAGACTTTTGTTACACATTGAAACTAACTATTAATTTAAGAAGATTCAATCTTTAAATGGTTTATTTTAAAATATTTATAGTTTAATTACAAGTTGCAATAGTAATCAGGAATCTGGGTTAGGCATACAGCTATTTTAAATAGATAGATATTTGTTTAGTATTGTACAGAAATGTGTGAAGATAATGAGTGGAAAAGAGTTATCAATAACCTTGGATGTCTTGGATGTGAGCATATTTTTTCATTGAGTTGCTAAATGGACATTTATCGCTACTGTCATAATTATATTAAATAAATTTACAATTTTTCGTATTTCCCAAGGCACAGAATGTAAATCAAATCATTAGTCATCATGTCATGGAACTCAAGGGTAATAATATGATTTTTCATTATTTCTAAACATAGTTAAAAAATCATATATTTTCGAGAATTGTTTACCACTTGCACTAGTTTCCTGTGCGTTTTTTTTCTTTTTTTCGACTTCGCTCGCGATTTGCGAGGCGCAAAGCGAATTTCTACTTAGGTATTTCTAAGATAGATAGAACTACTTTGTTCTTAGCTGCAAAGGTATGTGTTTCATTCCTGTGGCATCGATATTCGCGAAGATCGCACGGTTTAAAGAAAAACATTTGTGAAAAAATCGGGCGAAAATGTGAAAGATTTGCGAAAATTGTCACCTGATTTTTTCACAATTGTTTTTCTTTAAACCGCGAATATTGATGCTACAAGAATGAAACATATGCTACTTTATAGCCAAGAACAAGGCCTTTCTATCTATCTTAGAATTATCTTTGTAAAAAAATCGCTCCGCGCCTCGCAAATCGCGAGTTAAGTCAAAAAAAAAAAAAAGCAAAAAACGCACAAAAACTTTCGCAAATTTTCTCCTAATAAAATTTCCTGATGTAAAAATATATTATAAAATAATATTCGATATTCTGTTCCTTTAATTCATATCAAAGCAATTTTATCTAAACATAAATCCTTACATATTATAGATTAGATCAATCAAAGGATATACTATTTTTTGGTATGTTATAACACGTTTGTCGATAAATGAAATAATACAAAAATAGATAAATTTATTCAAGATTCTAAAATACTAGAATGGGTGACTTATGATAAATTTCAAGATATTAAACTATACAAAATTGCAAAAGATTGAGAAATTAAAAATCAACAATGGAAAAGATATTAAAGATATTGTGGCATCAAATAAAAGCGGGAATAATTTTATTTTTATTAAACGGAATCCAAAAAACAGTAAATTTGAAAAATAAATTTTTGTTTCTTTTCATATAAAATTATTTTTAAATAAAGAAATATTTATCTTGACTTTAAAGTAGTCAAACAAAATATTTACTGGTCACATTATTAATTTATTATTATTATTTTTAAAAATCATACTTTTGTTTGAAAGAGTTGGATTCCAAAATTTATGATTTACGGTTCAATTTGTTCGTGTTCGGTTGTTTCTCTTGTTTCTTTTAAACCGTCGGCCTCGGCAGCCATACATTTTTTTAGAAGCGGTTTTCTTACTCTTAGTCCTAAAAAATGAGCAAGTACAGTAAATTATAAATACAATTCAATTATTTAATTTATTTGCAAAAAAATCAACCTACCAAATAAGAGTGTATAAGCACTAAAAGTTACCCCGTAAAGAGCAGCAATATTTGCTAACACTTCTAAGATCTATTTATCCAAAAAATAATAATCACTAGTTGTATATGATATGATAAATTTCCAAAAACAATTTAAAATAATGTTGCTTACAGTACGATGCCTATCATTATTGTTTGCATTCAAATATATTAACAAAATATATTAACAAAATATATTAACAAAAATATAATAATATATTAACAAATTGGATTCACTTCATTTTTTTACCTTTGTTCTTTTTCTATTTCTATAACAGAAGTTTTTAGTGTAATTATCACCGATGCGTAAATATTTTTGAATCCCGGATATTCGATAGCCTCTGTAGTTACGGTATAAACAACATTAGTACTAAAAAAAATACGTAATAATAAAAAAAAAATAAAAAAATAAAGACCATCATACCAATATCAGATTCAATGTAATTGTATGTATCATATTTTGGGTTGAAACCGAGTAGGGTAGGAAATGAACTATCCAATTCTTCTCTTCTTAGCCTATAGAAATTAAAATAAAATACCTATTGAATGTTTTAATAGATTTTTTAATAACGTATACAAATATATTTCATTCAAGAATGATAATTTAACTAAATATACATACATTTGTACCATTAGATTGTGCTAAAAAATATTTATTTTCCGTCTCAATTGATTCAATAAACTTAGGTGGATTTCTATTTGAGTACGGATAATCTATTCATTATCATCATTTCATATTATTACATTAAAGATATAAAATATTAAAGATATAAAGGTACAAAATATCTCAATTTCATAAAAAAAATACCAGAATCAAATGCATGCATCTTCATAGGAGAACTTTGATTTAAATGATCATAAGTGTCATCATTGATATGTATAGTAAAAAATATATCTTCCGATTCGGTAGTGTTGATTTGTATTTTTCCCTTTGGTAAAAATGCAAGATCATTGCCAAAGCTTTCCGAAATACCGTTTTCTTCTTCAAAATAAGAAGAGCAATCTCCACCTTTTGAATATATTTGGATTAGATAGATATATAAAACAGAATAATAAATCAATTTATGAAATAATTAAGGTTCCCTACCATAATATTCACAACTTATATTAAACTTTTTATTAAAAGTAAAATAGATATCTATATTGATTATGATTTTGATATTAAAAAAACATGTCATTCGATTTCAACATTTAAATCTAAGAATTATATTTTTACCTGGGACAGGTATAAATTCCGTTGATTCATAAAGTATTTTGATACCAGGCTCTTCTTTAAGCATTCTCATAAACAATACTACAGAGAAAGTAATTAAAATGGATAATAATATAATAATAATAATTCGTCGGATCCATATAAGTGAGAGATTTCTTTTGATAAAGTCTAAAAAATACATTTTGATAAAATAAAATTTTGTTTTTTAAATTTTTATTTTTCAATTAATTTTTCATTGCATCGAAAGTGATTTTATATAATGCAAAAGGAAGTATTTATATATAGTCACGTTGCAAAGTAACGCCGCCGCTTTTCTAGTGTAACAATATTTTCACGACACAACTGATTCCCCTTTTTTCATTTGTATTGTTTTTTTCTCATCAATTTATTTTTTGACTGCATGAATTTTATATAATGATTCCATGTCACAAAAAAAAAACCCCATAAAATAAAAATTAAAACGATGGACTGGCCAACAAATTCTCCGATCTTAACACCATAGAAAACATCTGGGAATTAAGAACAATATTCAGAAACAAATAAAAAATTTTTCAAAACTGTAGATTAACTCAAAGAATGATTCGGACTTGATGTCACAAAGAATTGTCAGGCCAACAAATTATTAGTTAATTATAAAAAAAAAAACTTTGACACAACATAGAAATAATAATTCATGTATGAAATTCTTTTTTAAGAAAAAATCGGTATTACTTTGCTAATTGTGAAACAACGAGTAATCTATATATAGATTCCAAATATTATGAGATAGATATATACAATGAATTACTCATGTCCACTGTTTGCAAAGTATCGTGAATTATTTTGTCTAAAAAGTTATAATTCGGTGAACAATAAAAACAATTTATTTTTATAGTTTTTTATTTTGCGTAGCGTAGTACATAGAATCTAGAAGCCAAAATACTTACCCTAGAATACTCTTTTGGAAAGATTTTCGTGACCCAAAATAGAGAGAATTTAAATAGGAAAATAACCAAATATGTTATTAAATAATATTTATTTGATATGTTATTTGGTCCACTCATAGTTCAATCAACTACGTCGTAACACGTTTCAGAAATGACAATCAATTCAAAACATTATTGTAATTTATGCGAAGTTGATCGATGGACTAACGTAATGTGGCGTGATATTTAAAAAGTTTGACTTGTATATTAATTTTAAATAGGAAAATTATTAATCTAAAAATATGTAATATAATATTAATTATAAACTTAATAAATATAAATTTATAATAAAAAATCATATATCATTCATTTAAACATAAACATAATAACTAAAATAAATACAAATTAACTTCCAGTTTTACACTTTTCTAAACTTTTAAATCATCGGAGGAGTTTAAATCATCGGAGGAGTTTAAATCATCGGAGGAGTTTAAATCATCGGAGGATTAATTCTCGACAGTCATATATTTTTTGAAGTGGTTTTCTTACTCTTTTTCCTAATAAAATGAGCAATTGAATTATAAATACAATGATTTAATTTGTTTGTAAAAATCCAACCTACAAAATAAGCATACATAATATTAATCATTACCCTGCAAAGAGCAGAAATACTTGCTAATACTTCTGTAATAATTTACCCAAAATAGTAATCACTATTTGTATAAGATAAATTTCCAAAAAAAAAAAAAAAAAAAAATTTAAAAATAATGCTTACAATAAAGCCCTAATATTATTGTTTATAAAATTAAAATATGTTAACAAAATATAACAAATTTTAACAAATTCACTTCACTTGAGGTGGTTTTTTACCATTGTTCTTTTTCTATTCCAATATATAACATTAATTACATTAATACAATATCTTTTTTCGATACAAAAGTTAATTCCCATATTCACCAATACATTGTATAATTAAATAAATAAATAAACAAAATTCATTTAAAGATGCTTCTTTTTTTTCTAAACCATTTTAAAAATGGGTACTTCTGTGTGATGCAAATCATTCTTCATTATATTGGGTTGGTCTTTGTGAACAATAATTGTATATTGAGAAAAATAATAAGAATGACTGTTAAAAAGAAATTAATTAAATTTTATATTACATTGTTACAAATCTAGCGTTGGCATCTTGTCATTATAATACTTACTATCGATAAGTTCATATACCATAAAATTATAAGTAAAAACTGGAATTTCACATTGAGAAATTGATAATGCACCATCATAACAAGGCTTCCTCATTGTAAAAACCACGAGCATGAAGACTTTTTATATAAATATAATTCTTTTGTTTGGCATTCTTTTCTCCAACTGCATTTTTTCCTGAAAATGCAATATTCGACTTATGTGAGAATAATCAAAGTAAGAAATACATCTATTCTTATTTTTGTTTCCTTTGTTCAGGTGTTTCACCAGGAATCTCAATAATAATGATCCTAAAGTTGAAGAGCTCAATTTGGGATTTATTTTTGTCATTAAGATTTCTGTTATTAAAATGCGAATAGCAGTATTATTAGCAATTAAAATTTTTAAATATTTATTTTTATTTTATTTTAAATACATTTTATTACTCAAAATTCTTAGATTAGATACTATTCATAATCTAATAGAACAGAATCTATCCACGTAAAAAATATAAAATAAGTATATAAAAATAAGAAAATTGTTAAAGATCACCACTGTTAAGCTTAGCAATACCCTAAAAATAATTTCAATTTTAAAGGGAGAAATTTGGAGATATTCATAACATCATAACATTTATCTTTCCCGTAATTATCAGGTATATCTATGACTTAAGGATTTTACCCAATCATTTCTCAAATCAATAATAAATTTATAAATTGTACAGTCTTGAGTTTTTATCTTAAAAATAAATTATTGATCTTTGTTTTCTCGCTCATTTGATCATGTGACTTAGCTAGAACTACACTTTCTTTACTTAGTTTTATAGCTATTTTCTATCTAAGTCCCTAGTGAAACTATCTTATTCTGATTCAAAAATCCTCTTATCCTGTACTCTATTACTATCTTTCTTCCTTTATTGCCCTATCTTTTATCCTTTCTTAATGCTTTCATATTTTTGTCTTTGATTACTCTAAACCCGAATTTCTTTGTTCCTATAGAATAGATTAGTTCTTTTAGTTAGTATCAATACATTCCATACTTCCAAAACCCCTGATAACTACCAGGCTAAACCCAAATACTTTTCTTGTACTTTCTCCCACTCTCCCAACAGGTAGTGTCAGCATCTAGTGCTCTTCTCAATCTTGAGCTTTTTACTCAGATTCCTCACAAAATTACAAAGGAGGCTTTTTGTAAAAGAACTGAAAAAAGCCTGGATACTTTATAAGCTTTTTGATACAGTTGATAAAGAAAAAACAAGTCAAGTTAAAATTTTTTCAGCATCATCTATCTCCAGATTAAGCTCAGATGATATTGATATGTAATTTCGAAAGTTTTGGTCCTAATAATAGTTACTGTATCTGTATATAATATAAAAGCAAAGACTTCATTTTTGATAGATCTATAGTTATTCTTTTGATATGGTATGTTATGTTTTAATTTAATAAATGTTTCAATTTTTTGGTTGTAGATCTTTATATAAAAATTTTGCGTAAAGTCAAAAGAAATTTTTTATAATAAATTTTGTACGAAATGCAAAAAATTTTCTTACACTAAAATTTATGTGAAGTATAAAAAATATTAAAATTTTATTACATTTGTACAAAATATTGTAGTATGTTTTTTTTTTATATTAAATTTTGTCTTTCACCTAGGATCACATTACACGAATTAATCAAAGGATTCATTAGTATTCAAAGTTACATCAATGTTGAAATCTAGAGAAAGGACCAGGAAAGTAATTATTGAAGAAATGGTTAACTTCAAAGAGTATTTAAAAGACTAAAGGAAGGAACAGTGTGAAAAAGTGGCACTATGGGAAGCTAAAAATAATATTACAAATAGATTGAAAAAGAAAAAAAAGGGAAAAACTAATTTAAAAAAGGTGAGGAAAATAAGAAAATATAATGACAGTATAAAGTTAGTAAAAACTAATGAAGGGAAACACAGTAAAATAGAACAAATAGAAAAGAACGCAATACATAAATTTAGAATGTGGATTAACTTAGGATGCAAATATAATAATAATTATAGTTATATATATAATAATTGCATCTGATGGGATTTTGGCCATTAGTTCCTGAGGTTACACTTAGGCAATGATGAGTTGGACAGTAAAATGCTATTTTTAGTCAATTTCAATAAATGTAAAATAAATTATATGTATCTTTAAAATTTACATCTAATTTATTAATAAAAGTTTATTGGGGCAAGACTCTGTTGGATTTAAAAAAAAAAAACACTACAGGCAAATACTTTAAAAACACCTGCTATTGGTCCGGAATAACTAAAAATGAAGGCTCTATTAAAAAGAAAATGAGTGCCTCAACAATTGAAGTCACAGATAGTCTTGCTACTATAGAAAGCAATCTTGATATAGCCAAAAATACATTGCGTACTGCAGATGCTGTTGGAGGTACCATAAAACCTTTTGTCCCATTGATTGAAAATGTAACCCTCATGATTGAGGAAATTATTAATATCTGGAGACCTTCAATTCACTCATGGATCGTGTTAATGCTGCCGAGGCAACCATCAAAACTTTAAAAAGAAGACAAACTGAAAATGAAAAAAATTTTCGTAATCAAGAATATTAAAAACCATTTATTCATTTTATTGAAATCATGAAACGAATTAAAAAATTTATGATTGATGTATCGAACTTAAACAAATATCAAAGAATCGTACAGAATAGAAAGTTAATGATAGATTTAATTCACTTACTAAAGATTTTGATGTAGTAATTACTGAATTGCATTTTACAATGGCCGTTGCTAATGGTGAACAAAGGAGGATAGATCAAATTACTCTCGAATCCGATATTGCAAATATGACCAAGGTAATTCACATCCAAATTCAATTTTAGAATATTATGAACTTCTTTTTTTTCTAATAATATTCTTTTTCATCATTATTAGTTTTTGGAAAGAATAGAAGGTGGCATATCTGACCAAAATCAAATGAAAGAAGCATTGGTTCATCCAGAAAGTTCAGAAATTAATATTAAAACAAATGAAATAAAATCAATAGAATTGATTGATCCTTTTATGCCAAAAGCAACGGATCGCCGAGGGGAAAGTCTCCAGGTTTTCAAAAAAATATATAAATATTATGAGGTCGCCTGCAAGCCAATAACTCCTCAAAATAGTGACCCTAAAGAAGCCTCAAAAATTCAACAAGAGCTATCTATATTAGAAAAATTACGAAATTCACCCAAAATTATCAGATTTTATGGTCTTTCACATACAGAAAACTCAGACGTTATGGTATTTGAATGGGCTGATCATGGCTCTCTCAGAGAGTTGTATTGTAAATATGACATTGCATTGGCATGGAAAAGTACAAATAGCTCTTGATATTTGTCGTGGCCTTACATTTTTGCATCCCTGTGATATTCTTCATCATGATATTCGATGTGAACATATTATGGTAAGATTTAATAACTTTACTTATGATGAGAATTATATAGACTTTATTCATAGATCCTAATTAGTTTAATTTGAATTCTTATTCTATTTATAATAGATGGCTACAGGCCTGGTACCAAAAATTGCGAAATTTAAGTATTCCCGCGAGGCTTCTGGTCCAACAACTGACATGAAGGGTGTAACAGATATTATGCGTTGGATGGCTCCCGAAAAATTGCTTGATTCTACAAGAAATAATGTTCCTTATTCTTTCAAATGCGAGATTTTCAGGTAATAATTATATTAATGCTAATTTATGTGTTTATTGAATTATTTGGTTTATTTCATATTCTTTCTTATATTATTTATTTAGTTTTGGTATGTTACTCTGGGACTGGCATTCGAAAAAGTTCCATACGAAAAATGGGACGTACTTAAGATTAAAGAACATGTATTGGCCGGTAAAAGAGAAAAAATCACGTGGGAAATGCTTCCCCAAATGTTCAAAAACTTCAAAAAGGATTGGCAAAAATCATTATGTCTGGTAAGCTATTTTGTTACTATTTTTTTTATTGATTTTTTGCTTTTTAACTTATTTAAATTAATCATTATATATTTCATATGAAAAGCCTGGCAGGATGATTCAGCAATTGAGCAACTCTTCAAAATATTTTTACAAATATGGTTCAAGTAACTGATGAGTATTGCTCACCCGACAAAGAAAGTGCTCTTGTACTTTTACCTGATAAGACATTAGATTTAGATGGATCTTTATCTTGTTCAGTTTCCGTTAGCGATGAAGGTGGTTCGGATTTATATAAATAATTTCAGTGATCAGTAAAAATTTAATCAATAAATTAATATAAAATAATTGAAATAATGCTCTTCATTCATTTTAGTTTTTTAATATTTTTAATATTTTGTCAATTTTAATTATTGATATATAAAATTGAAAATAAAAAATATTGTACAAAAATGAATAAATTTTTTATTTTTTTATGCAAATTTTCTGCTCCGTTATTATGGTTATTTTTTTGTATAGAATATGTTCATAATATTTTTATTCAATTTATATAATTATGGATTTATTATGAATATTTTATGACAGAGTTGATCTGTTTTATAATAATAAAAAATGATAAGAAAATGGTAAAAATATAAAATATAAATCATTTACATTTTCACGGATCCTTTTTTTTTTCTGTTCAAAAAATATAATAACGCGGGCAAAAAAATTTGGGCGCAAATTGTATTCACATGGGGTGAAATTTTCCATGAAGATACTAAATAGAAAATAATAAATTGTCACACGAATGTGGACTCTTTATGATTATTTGCAAGAATAGAATTTTTTCGAAAAAGGCAAAAATAGGCAGGTAACATCCAATGATTGTTTAAAATGACCCTTAAATATGTTTTTTAACAACGGAGGTTTCTTCGCAGTTAGCCCAGTTCGAAATTTAAATAATAAAAGATTTTCAGAACTTCTTAATGACAAAAAAGAATATAATGTTATTATCGAAGTTGACAAAGAAATCTTTAGACGCACATTCAATTGTTTTCGACATCGTTCACTTTACTTAAATAAAGAATAGAGAATGCACCAATGAATAAAAATCTTATTAAAGCTATTATTAAACAAACTATTCCTTCTTAAATATTTGAAATTTTTAAGTATGTTAAAAATTTGTTTATATTAAATTAATTAACTATGTTATAAAGAACCACTGATTGCAAAGTTACAGATTTTAAAATTCTATGTTCATATTTTTAAGATACTTTAATTTTGAACTAGTTCTGAAAATTCGGAGATCTAATCACTATAACTATATTTATTTAAATTGAAAATGACCACTGTGAATATGTAATTTTTTTTGTGTATTTCTACGTTGCGCCATTGTTACATGAGAAGTTTAATTCCTAAATAGTACTCTAGGAATATTTTCACTTATTATATATAAACATTAAAATATATATATATATATAAATTTGTATGAATATACGTTAGTAGTAATAATGTAAATAATAAATTATGATATTAAATTATGATATTAATACTAATATTATTATTTAAGTCTTAATTTAACTTAATAAATCGCATTCCACTGTGTGCAATTAAATAAATGATAAATAAGTATATATAATAATTGATTAAGCAAAATTAATAAAAAATAATCAATTAATTATCGATAAATAAAATAATAATAAAAAATAAATAAATAAAAAATAATAAGTAAAAAAAAATATATGAAATAAAAATATTTATTAATCTCTCTTCTGATATAGATCATAATTTTATATTTTGCGTTCGACATTATACCAAATTATTAATATTCTCTCAGTAATAACAATTTGGGAATGCAATTATTTTTAATGAAATTTCTTTTAATAAATCTGGATCGAAAAGTTGTTGTTGCTAATACTAATTCTTCGCTTTCTTCTTTTCTTTTTCTTCTTCTTGACGATTCTGAAATATAGTATATATGCACATAAAAAATTATGAAATATATTATAATTAGTGTAAAATGTAAAAATAAATGAGTGTAAGATAATAAATAATAAATAATGAATTCAAAATTAATGGGATAAAATTACATAATTTAATAAGCGTATCTCAAAATTTAATTTGCATATGAATTCTAATTAACTGGTCTTTAATTATTTATTTAATTTCTTCCAAGGTTATAAATGTGTTTATTTTAATAATTGAATAATTGAGCAAAAATGATTCAAAGAGAGATTAATAAATAAGAATAATAAGTAAACACTTAAACAACTAGACATAATTAAGACAAACAGTTTTTTCCATATTCACTACAAATTTTCGCGTGTTATAAATATATGCCTATTAAATGCCACTGCGGAAACTCTTTCTTTAGCCATGTACATGATAGGATTAGCTATTAATAAGATTATTGTTAGAGTTAATATTACCGTCGGTGTTAATATTAATAAAGAAATAATTCATAAATCTAAATCTTTCCAGGTAAAAATATATTTTTGAGGACCCACTTCATTCTGTTCATTTATCTTCTTCTTTATTCTATTCTTTTTCTTTTCTTATTGCTCATTCTTCTCCTTCACTGGATTCTTCTCCATTACATTCTTTACAATATTCTCCATTACATTCTCCACTATATTCGCCACTTTATTCATTACTATCGCCTTCAAATCCATATGCAACTTCTTCATTCTTTTCTTTTCTTTTTCTTAAGGTAGTCTATGAAGTTTTTTTTCTTTTCTTTTCATTAAATATCTTTTAATTCTTTCTTCATAGCTACATCCGACATTATATTTTCTTTAATTCTTATAACTTTTCTTAGGGTATTGCTTTGATACATCAAGTGACAAAACATAATCATCATCTCTTAAAATTCTTTTGCTCGCCTAAGCCTATTACGTAATGACGGTGATAATTATTATAATTATTAAATAAATTTGAAAAATTTAAATATTTAATTTTCAAATATATATGTTTACCAAAGTAACAGCAAAAAGATCCATTGTTTGGAGTTTTCAAGTATTTTATAATAAATTTTAGAAGATTTGAGAAAATATCCATCACGATTATTAAGATTGCTGCGAATATTGTTATAAGAAATTTTAATAATTATTACATAAAAAAAAAAATCACACGTGAACGACGACTATTTCTTATATACGTGATTTTTATAAGGATAGATATTGTCATATGGTCTGGCATAATTCCCAATAGATTTAACGAATTGCAAAATTTAAAAAATTTAAGATCTACTTTCCTTTATATTAAAAATTATATAATACTGATTTTCATCCTAAACATAAAAAGAAAAAGAAAATTATGAATTTGATAAAAGAATCTGATGATGACGAGTTAGCTTTGCTAGCATTACATCCAATGACCTCATTCAATTCGAATTAAAAAAGGGAATTGAGAAATTTGCGATACTTCAAATATTTTTTATTTCATTTAATTGTTTTGTGATGATAAAAGAGTGATATATTCCCATTATCAATGTTATCTCATCAAGTAAAGTACATTGAAATAAATTTCAGCAAGATCCTATTACATTCGAAATGAAGATAATTATTATCAAATGTTTCATCAGCTCTCATTAATCATATTTGGATCTATGAATCGGTAATTAATAATACTTATTTTGTTCGAAATTCATTCACCATTATCGCATCATTGCATTGTTACCCTATTTCCACGAAAGATACTTGATAAGGCATGCAAGGCATGTAAAAGACGTGATAAAACTTTATACAATTTTCTTCTTCGGACGAGAGTAAATTTTAAAGATTAGGAATAAGATTCATCTTATTGCATGACTTTGAGTAAATAATAAATAAATATGATAGAATAATCCAATAAATGTAATAAATTAGCATTACCTGCACCGCTGAACTAAGAGCAAAGCAGCCTTCTTCCTGATTTCATTTGAATAATGATTTAAAAGTAAAATTATAAATTTCAATCCATCGCTTTTAGATAATTTAATATGAAATAAAGTTCATGAAATAATTATTCTAATCTATCTAATGCCGAAAATATTTTTGTGAAAGATTGTTGTGATGATGATTGAATTAATTAATAAATATAATTATCAAAGAATATACGATTATTTTCTTTATGTCGTTGTTGTTGTGGTTTCTTTTGAATAATTTGCATTGAATAACTATAGTTTCTCCTATTCTCATTAATATTATTATCATCAAGAAATGTATCATGTAATGAATCTTTTGATGATTCTTTTAATGAAGTATAGGAAAAAGTTTCATCATCCTCATCATTTTCATTTTTTCAATTATAATAACTTCAGATCTTAATTCATTGGGATTCATATTTTTTCTCGTTTCGAAATCAATTTTGATACGCGACATGAATGTGGATGTGTGAACATAAAATGAAATAATGAATAATCAAACATAATTTAAAAAAATAGTCAAACATAATAAATAATTAATTAATAAGATAAATATATGAAATGAGAGAGAGAATTATGGCACTGGTGAAGAATCATGGATGAAATGAGTTCACCACAGAATATATAATCAAAGGACTCATCACAAACTCTTTAATAAATAAGGTTAAAATCTAGAGAAAATGCCAAGAAAGCGATTATTGAAGGAACGATATTTCAAAGAATATTTAAAAACCAGAACAAATAGAAAAAACATGCAGTCATAATTTTAGAGAATGGATTAATTTAGGAAATTTAATATTAATTATAGTTATAGATACGACTGTAAAATAGTAATTTTTAGTCTGCTTCAATAAATGTAGAATGAGTTATCTATTAATAATATTAATATAAAATTAATATAAAATTAATAAATGAATAAATAAATTACCATCAGATGGATTAATCAATACTGTATATCCTATAAAATTGTTCTTTCTCACAAATATAAATATTAAGAAATTAATTTTTTTTAGAACTTATACAAGTTTCTTTTTTAGAAGTTAATTACTAATTTCAGAACTGTTTTACAGAAATAATAAATAATTTTTTGTAACACAATTATTAGAATTTGTCTATTTCACGTTGTGCAGGTTGCCTCATCCAATGGTTGTTTAATAAAGTCACCATTATACAAGTTTAACTTTTAAAAATAAAAAATGTCTTTTAAATTTTTTGATAAATTATCTCGAGATTTTTCAGAACTTCTTAATGACAAAAATGAATATAATGTTGTTATCGAAGTTGATAAAGAAGGAGAAAAGAAATCTTTTACTGCACATTCAGTTGTCTTACGTTATCGTTCATCCTACTTTGATAAAGAATTAGAGAACGTTACCACAAATAAAAACAATGTTAAAACTATTATCAAGCCAAGTA